AAGCTTAGTGGTTAGGAACACTTGCTGCTTTTGAAGAGGGCCAGCACCACATGGAAGCTCACAACCATCTGTGAGTTCAGTTCCAGAGGATCTGATGCCCTCTTCTGGCCCCCATGGGAAACAGGCACACAGGTAGTGCACAGGCATCTATGCAGGCAAAATACCTATATGCATAAAATAAATCAGTTATATATTTTATTAATATATATAACACATATGTACACATACATACATACAATATTCTCCACTCAGCAATGAAGGTACAGAAGCAAGACTTACTCTTTCTGAGTAAAATAAAATAAATTTGGGGGTACATGCCATCCCAGTCTATAGTACCAGTGCTTGGGAGGCGGAGGCAAGAGTATTCAGAGTTCAAGGATGGCCCGGGCTAAATGAGGCTCTGTGTCAAAAATACAAAAAAAGAACCAAAAACTCTGAGTTGGAGAAACAGGGCCTGTCCCTCTGGATCCAAACACTGCCCCCTGAAGACAAGACAGGTCTTGAGAGAAGGAGGCTGAGCACAGTGAGCCCATGAAAAGGCACCAGGGTTGTCACAGAGACAGAAACCACCTGTGGCTGGTTTGAATGGGGGGGTCACTAAGGAAACCATGGCTTCCACCCACCTCACCTCCACCACGGTCTTTGCAATCCAGGGAAGGCAGTGATGAAAGAGATTGATCCATTTCCTGAGGGGCAGCACAGGCTCGTAATGCCAGCCAGCACTGGAGAAGCTGAGGCAGGAGGATCCTTGTGAGTTCCAGGCAAGCCTGGGATACATAGCAAGACTCTATTTCAAAGCAAAACAAAGCTTGGCAGTGGTGGCACACGCCTTTAATCCCAGCGCTAGGGAGGCTGAGTCAGGTAGATCTCTGTGAGTTCGAGGCCAGCCTGGTCTACAGAGCGAGTTCCAGGACAGCCAGGGCTACACAGAGAAATCCTATCTTGAAAAAAAAAATCATGCTATTCCCAAGCACACCCATGCCCGGAGCTGGCCACCAAACCTGCCTCACCGAGTCCCAAGTTTTACCGTTGTGATAGAGGAGGGAGACATGGGGCCTCTGCCTCTCCAAAGCCTTCCTCTCCCCATCTGACTCCTTCTAGCGCCCTAGACCTCACCATTCTGGGGCCCAGGCCACAGCCCTCATTCTTCTGAAAGGCTCTCAGGTTGGACTATTTCTGATCCACCTGCCTCCACCTCCCAAGTGCTGGGTTTGGGACACCAAGACTGGTTTGTGCTGGGACCACCCTGCAAGCTAGGCTGGCACTCTATCAACAGAGCTCCATCACCAACGCCCTTCATCCCTTCTGATTTACCCACAAGTGGATGGTACTAAGAGAGGTGCAGTATCCGGAAGGAGCTGGCCATCCTGAGTGATTCACAAATAGTCTAAGGTTTGTTTGTGGTAAGTACAATATTGAAAAACAAGGGGCAGGTTGGCCAGATGGCTCTTGCTGCTGTGACTGATGACCTGAGTTCAATCCTTGGGACCAACACGGCGGAAAGGGAACTGATTCCTGCAAACAGTCCTCTGGCTTCCATATTAGCACACAATCAATACATAAATGTAACAAAATCATCATCATCATCATCATCATCATCATCATCATCATCATCATCAACATCAACATCATCATTGGTTTTTAGAGACAGGGTTTCTCTGTATAGCCCTGGCTGTCCTGGAACTCACTTTGTAGACCAGTCTGGCCTCTAACAGAGATCCATCTGCCTCTGCCTCCTGAGTGCTGGCATTAAAAGCACGCACCACCACAACCAGCCCAATAATTTTTTTTTTTCTGAGATGGGGTTTCTCTGTGTAGTTTTGGAGTGGGTCCTGGAACTCTCTCTGTAGACCAGGCTGGCTTTGAGCTCACAGAAATCTGCCTGCCTTTGCCTCCCCAGTGCTGGGATTAAAGGCGTGCGCCACCACCGCCACCTGACCCAACAAAATTATTTTTAAAGAAAATTGGGCTGGAGAGATGGCTTGGAGGTCAAGAGCTTTTACTGATCTTCCAGAAGCCTCAGGTTCAATTTCCAAGCACCAACATTTCCAGGAAGATCTGACGCCCTCTTCTGGCCTCCGTGTGCACTGCACAAATGTCCACGCACTCCAATTCACACATAAATAAAAATAAAATATACTTAAATAGTAATAATAATAATTTTTTTTAAAGAAAGAAAATAGAGCATCGTTTTAGATAGCATACACCAGTCATACATCTCAGGCAATGTCTGCGGCAAGGAAAACCTCACAGAAACAAGTCCAAAGGAAGGGCATCACAGGCCAAGAGTAAAGAGGGTGGGTGGTGTGGCAAAGAAGCAGGAAGCCGGAAATTAAGTGAGGGAATGTTGGGCCTGGTTGTGCTTGCCTTTGCAACCCTAGCATTCTGGACACTGAGGCAGGAGGATCATAAGTTTTGAGGCCAACCTGAGCTGAGTAGCTAGACTCTGCTCCTCACCTGATCCCTCCCATCACCAGAAATTAGGCGAGGGGCCAACAGAACCTTACAGGGGCACATGGAGTTTGAGGGCTAAAGGGGGGCGGGCTGGTTTTTATTTCTGAGCATGAAGAGAAACGTCAGGAGATGTTCGGCTCAGAAAATGAAGCGTGGCTGAGCCAGGGAGACCTCTCAGCATGTAAAGGCGCTTGCTTCCAAGCAGATCGACCCCGGCTCCGTCTCTGGAGCCCACAGGGGTGGAAGAAGAGAACGGACCCCTGCAGGTTGTCCTCTGATCTTGCCAGCACGCACGCACTTTTTTTGTTTGTTTGTTTGTTTGTTTGTTTGTTTGTTTGTTTAAGTGAGGAGTTGTAATCTGTGGGGCTGGAGTCGAGGCTGTGAGCCGAGGAGCCAGTGAGAAAGCTATTGCGGTAGGAATGGAGTGTGTCCCTCCATCAGCGCCTCCCGAGTAGGGGGTACCTTCCCAGGCAGGGTTCCAGTGGCCCAGCCACCCCCGGGCCTCTGTCTCCTCCCGCATCTGGCCCGCCTCCGCGCGGATCCCCCGGGAATGTCTCTAAAACGCTAATCTGATCATCTGACTCTCCTGCTTAAAACTTTCTCAATGGCTCCTCAGAGCTCCCAAGCCCAGCCCCGACTAGGAGCCGGCCACAGTCCTGGCACCGGGTTCAGGTTTCTCTCTGACAGCTCTGGCCACCGCGGAAGGCCACTCCAGGTCCCACCCCCAAGTAGCAAGCCCCCTTGCTCTCTTCTGTGTGAAATTCTTCCTGTTTGCCCGTTTCTAAAACTGTTACTTGTCTGTCTTTCCCCACCCACCCACCCTGTTGTTGTGTGCTCATTTGTTTGTTTCAGAGGAGGGCTCAGGCAGTCAAATCCGACCTCCAACTCCTTTTATCATTCGCTAAGTGTTGGGACTGCAGGTATGAACAACCATGCCTTTTCCTCTCTCTCTCTCTCTCCTCCTCCTCTTCCTTCTTCCTCTCTCCCTCCCCCCTAAAAACAGATTTATTTTTGTTTTATGTGTTTTGCCTGCCTGTGTGTCTGTGCCCCCACCCTCACCCCATGCAGGCTTGGGGCTCTGGAAGCCAGAAGAGGGTGCTAGGGCCCCTTGGAACTGGAGTGTTTTAGAGGAATTGTGAGCTGCTATGTGGGTGCTGAGAACCCAATCCGGGTCCTCAGCGAGAGCAGTCGGTGGTTTGGACCACTGAGCCATCTTGCCAGTCCCCAAGCCACTGAGACGAGCACACACAGGGACTTAGTACAGACAGCTCTTGAGTTGTTCGTTGTTCTCCTCATGCTTCTCCCCACCCCCCCTTTTTTTTTTCCAGAACATACAAGATTCCACTGGACCATGGTTTTGTTCCTCGGATATCTCGCTGAGATCTTCAGCCATTCACAGTGATGTTCATGACTGCGGTAGCGGTCTAGTGAGTGGTTCAGTCAGTACAGGTGCTTGTACCTGAGCCTGATGACCTGAGTCCAATCCCAGGACCCGCATCATAGGAGAGAACTGACCCCTGAAAGTCACCTCTGACCTCCACACATACACCACGGTATGTGTGCACCCCACACACATAAATAATAAATGTAATAAAAACAGGCTACATTTTATTGTATTTATTTGTAAGTGTGTATGTGTACCTGTGTGCATGCTCTGAGAAGACAGAAGGGGGTGTTGAAGATGAAATTACAGGGGACTGTACAGCCCTTGACTTGGGTGCTGGGAGGCAAACTCTGGTCCTCTGGAGCAGCGGCAAACACTCTTAACCACTGAGCCATCTCTTCAGCCCCACACATTTGTATTTGTGTGTGTGTGTGTGTGAGTGTGTGTGTACAGGTGCACAAGTGTGGAAGGCAGAGGCCAACCCACAGCAATCAGCTCTCTTTCCACTTAGAGGGTCCTCGGCATCCAACTCAGGTCGACAGCCGCAAGGCAGATGCCTTTACACTGAGCCATCTTGCCAGCCTCAAATGCCTCCATAGCAAAAACAAAGCCAGAAATGTAGCAAGGAACCTGGCACCAAAATAATATTGCATGTTTCTGGTCTCTGAAGGGTAAATTCCTGGAATTGCTAGGTTGCTAAAGCTCTCCAAACTTCTACTCACCTCAGACATGTACAGAAGGAACTGTTTACCCACACCCTTGCCAACAATGTTTGGCATGAATTTAACACACACACACACACCAAAAGCAATGTAACTTTTTCTCTATCACATAAACTTTGAGAGATGTAGCTACGTTGGTCCCATCTACCAGGCTGAAGCATTGAACCTTCAGGTTCAATGAAACATGATTGCCAAGAAAGACTAAAGGAATGACATTCACTCCCGTGGAGGAACAGCTCACGGTCTTCTCCGTCCCCTGCATCCCCTTAGCACTCTCCCGAATCAGAGCGCTTCCCTCATCACACACTCGCTGACTGATTCCGACCTGTCCCCTTGCATCAGACTATGAATTTTGACTCCATCGATCCAGCACCAAGGACAGAGCCAGCCCACAGTAGGTGTTCTGATGAAACTGGCCGGGTTGCGCTCCAGGGGCTTACCATAAAGGGGGAAACTGAGGCTCCGAGCAGAGAGAATTGGTTGCCCAGGCAACCAAGGGAAAGCGGGAGTCAGGCTCTATCAGGGAGTGCGGGAACACTCTCAAGCTTGTATCACTCGCTGTTCCGTTCATCTCCATCTTTGCCTCCTCCAACCCTCCTTCAGACCTGGCAGCCCAGCACAGTGCCTGGCACCGGCAGGGCTTGATAAATGCCTGTTTGTTGAAAGGATGAATGAATACGTGTTATCTTGTTGGGAAATGGAGGAGGAGTGGTGAGCTGGACCCAGAGTCCCAGGCTTGCAGCCCCCTCTTCCCTCCGAGGGTCCAAAAGACAGGCCATCAGCCCATTCCCCTCCCAGGATTCAGAAGCCGAACCGCCCTCCTTCTCGGCCCCCCAAGGTCCCTGGCCCTCCGCTTCCGGCTTCTCAGCCAGTCTTTCCTCTTCTAGCCTCCGACCAAACACCGGGTTTCCGGGGGGAAGGCTTAGGCTGTAACACCGAGCCCAGCCTCCTCCTCCACCCCCCACCACGCTCAGCCCCCTCCCTCCCCGCCACCACTGTCCGCGATCGCCCGGCAGCAGGGAAGGAAGAAAGGAGCGCAGGAGGCGGAGGTAAGACCGGCGCCCCGAGACTGGGGCGAGCCCCGGGCCCTGCGCGGAGCAATCCGCGAGGCCTCGACCCGCCGGCCCAGTTCTGCAGATCATACCTACCCGGAACAGATAGCCCCCTCTTGGACCTAGGGCCCCCGACAGCCTGCAGGTTCCACGCCCTCCCCCGACACCACGCCCGGCCAGGGGTCTGGCCACAGCCATCTCCTCCCTGGGGATTTTCTGCAGCCCAGCTCCCAGCCCCCTCCTCCCCCTTGTCTTGTGAGTCAGGGCCCCCTACCCAGCTTCTCCCTTCACCCAGACTCGCCTACCTGCAAGAGTCTAGTTCGTCTATCCTGTTCTGTCTGAGACCCAGGAATCCTAGCCTTCAGTCTTCCTGCCCGAGACCCAGGGATCCAGGACTCAGCGCTCCTTCAAGCCCACGAGTCCAGCCCCAGTCCTCCTCCCTCAGACCCAGGAGTCAGCCTCAGCCTCCTCCCTCAGACCAGGAGTCCAGACTCCAACCTTCCCCCCGCAGACCCAGGAGCTTAAGCTCTGCTACGCCTCGGTCCCTGCCAGCCCCTGACTTTTGGGTACCTACGTTCCTATTCCAGGGCCTCTTGACTGAATCCCACCCCACTTAGGCCTCCAGGGTGGACTGGTTCCCAACCCCCACTGAGAATGTTCAGTCCCCTTGGGCCCTAGAGCAAAATCAGTTGGCTGACTGTGTCTCCCTGTGTCTCCTGTGTATTGTTCTGTCTTCCTGTCCGTCCGCCTCTCGTCTCTATGTTCTCTCTCCATCTCTCTCCCTTCCGTTTCTCCCGGACCTTGTCGCCCTTTCCCACTTGTCCACAACTCTCTCCTCTCCTTTACCGTCTCTGCCCCCTTCTGCCTCTGCTCTGTCTCTGCCTCCTCACCCCCTGCCTCCCCTGCCTCTCCCCTGTCTCCTCTTCTGGACTGAGGATCTGCCCTCCTCTCTCTCTCCTCTTCTCTCCACCACACCCACATCCTTCATCTCTTCTCCCCACCCCTGCCTCCCCGCCTTTTCCCCACAGGCATGGATCCACAGCCCCCTCCACCTGCCCAGGGCAGCCCACCTCACCGTGGCCGAGGCCGAGGCCGTGGCCGTGGCCGTGGTCGAGGCCGTGGTCGTGGCAGAGGGGGTGCTGGAGCCCCTAGGGCACCCCTGCCCTGCCCCACCTGTGGTCGCCTCTTCCGCTTCCCTTACTACCTGTCTCGACACCGGCTGAGCCACTCGGGCCTCCGGCCCCACGCCTGCCCCCTGTGCCCCAAAGCTTTCCGGAGGCCTGCCCACCTCTCCCGCCACCTCCGTGGCCACGGGCCCCAGCCCCCGCTGCGCTGCGCTGCCTGTCCACGCACCTTCCCGGAGCCGGCCCAGCTCAGGCGCCACCTGGCCCAGGAGCACGCAGGTGGCGAGGTGGATCTGTCCACGCAGAGGGCCGTGAAGGAGGAGCCACAGGACGAGGGCGTGGAGCAGCCCTCCGCGGCGGTGGCGGCCGGGGTTGCAGAGGAGGCGGCAGCAGTGTGGCCCGAGACGTGGCCCGTCGGGGACCCGGCCCCTGTGGCTAACCCCACGAGTACCGATCCTCGGGAGTCGGAGGCCGAGGAGGCCGAGGCCGGGGCAGCGGAGCTAAGGGCAGAGTTGGCACTGGCCGCGGGGCGACAGGAGGAGAAACAGGTCCTCCTCCAGGCCGACTGGACGCTGCTGTGTCTCCGCTGTCGCGAAGCCTTCGCCACCAAGGGGGAGCTCAAAGCGCACCCGTGTCTGCGCCCCGAGGGCGAACAGGAGGGCGAAGGGGGACCCCCGCCCCGCCCCAAGCGACACCAGTGTTCCATTTGCCTCAAGGCTTTCGCCAGGCCCTGGTCCCTGTCGCGTCACCGGCTAGTCCACTCCACCGATCGGCCTTTTGTGTGTCCAGACTGCGGCCTGGCCTTCCGCCTGGCCTCCTACCTCCGCCAGCATCGCCGCGTCCACGGCCCTCTCAGCCTGCTGGCCCCCCTGCCCGGGGCCGGCAAGAAGGACGACAGGTCCTCAGGGGGACGGAACTCAGGGAAAGGGCCTGAGGGGGGCGAAGGGGCAGAATGTGGGGGCGCCTCGGAAGGGGCTGAAGGCGGGCAGAATGGAGGAGATGCCACCCCAGCCCGGCCCCCGGCGGGGGAGCCACGCTTCTGGTGTCCCGAGTGTGGCAAAGGTTTCCGACGCCGGGCACACCTGCGCCAACACGGGGTCACCCACTCTGGGGCACGCCCTTTCCAGTGCGTGCGCTGCCAGCGGGAGTTCAAGCGGCTGGCGGACCTGGCCCGCCACGCGCAAGTCCACGCTGGGGGTCCCGCGCCGCACCCGTGCCCTCGATGCCCACGCCGCTTCTCCCGCGCCTACAGCCTCCTTCGCCACCAGCGCTGCCACCGCGCCGAGCTGGAGCGGGCGGAGCTGGAGAGGGCCGCCACGCTGCAGGCTCTCCAGTCCCAGGCCGCACAGTCGCCCCAAACTCAGCCGCTTAAGCAGGAGGCCGAAGGGCTCCCTCTGTCCATCGCACACATCAAGGAAGAGCCGCCCTCACCTGGCACCCCACCTCAGTCCCCGCCGGCTCCCCCTGTCTTTCTCAGCGCCTCCTGTTTTGACAGCCAAGACCACTCAGCCTTCGAGATGGAGGATGAGGATGTGGACAACAAGGCCCACCTACGCGGGCTGGGGGGCTTGGCCTCCTGACCCCCACATCCACCCTCCGCCCCTCCAGTTGAGCTCCCGGTTTGCATTAAGGAAGAGGGAAGCTGAAAGAGAGATACCTCCTCTGCCTACCCCTGAGCCCCGGGTCACTCACCTTCCCCTTTACCTACCCCTAGACCCCTGATGCTGGTTAGGAAACACTCACCCCAACACGTGTCTTAAGTAAAGGCAGGACAAGGCGGAGGGCGCTTGGCCAGAGGGATGGGAACTGGTGGGTTGGCCCCAGCCTGCCCGTCCCCCATGGCAAACACTGGACGCCATCACCTCTTTGGAACTGCCAGACCCTGGGAGTTCCCGGTGAGAAAGGTCTGCCCCCGTTCCTGTGTCTCTGTGAATAAATGTGAGTTCGTGCAACCCATGAGTGAGGCTGTCTGTGGAGGTGGGGTTTGGGTGAGTCAGGATTTGCCCACGCTTGGGTTCAGAACAAGGATGCTCATACACCAGATCCCAGGAGGATGTTCTATCAAAGAAGCAAGAAGTCCATGAACCCTGGATTGAGAAGAAAAGTGTGCTGAGACAGAATGCCTGATGACCGCCCTCAGGAACCCCTGCGTGCAGTTTAGCAGACCAGCACGGTATGCACTGTTTTCATTTCTCTAGGGCAGATTTCTAGGCACAGAATTACTGCTCCACGTGGGAAGTCTACAACTCCCTTTCTGAGAAAGCACCAGGTGTTTCCCCCAAATTCCTGTTAACAGTTGTGAAGGTGCCAGTCATCTCCATTTTCCTGAGGAACCCCGAGAACCAGATATGATCTGAGGTGGGTGTGGTGGTACATAGCTGCAATCCCAGCATTTAGGGGGTGGAGGTGTTCGAAGCACGCATGTGACCTAGCCAAGGCCACATGGCAACAAGTGGCAAAGCCAGATATGGCCCCAGGCACGGTGACTCCATAGCCCATGTTCTTAGCCCTTCTTCGGGATTCATTCTTACCGTCTTCCTTCATGCTGGACTGTCTCATGGAGCCCTACACTGTGCAGAGCCTGGTCCTGGCTGCTCTTCATTCTTCGGTTGATGAAACACAATCCTTTCTCAATGTGTGGCTTCCATTCTAGTGGGAGGACACGGACAGGAAGATGAAACAGTTGAGTGATCGGAAAGCATCTTAGGGGCCAGGGAGGAGGCTCAGTAAAGGCATTTGCAGCTGAGCCTGAGGACCTGAGTTCAACCCCTGAGACCCAAATGATGGGAGGAGGAAACTGACTCCTGCAAGTTGTCCTCCTACAAGTTGTCCTCTGACCTCTACACACTAACCATGATGTGTGAGCATGCACACACACACACACACACACACACACACACACACACACACACGCAATAAATGAATGTAAAAACCATCTTATTAGGCCAGAGATGGAGAAAGATGGTACAGGACATGGAGAATATGAAGCACAGACCCATAGAAGCAGGCTTGAAGGACGGAGTCACAGCAATCACTGGCATGTGTCTCAGAGGGAAAGCACAGCTGTACAAAGGTTCAGAGGTACAGATGTGGATGGCATGGTCAAGGAGCAAAGAGACCAACTTGGCTACAGAGGAACCCGTGCAGAAGAACAGGGTGAGGGATGAAGAGATGGATCAGTGGTTAAGAGCACTTGATTTTGCAACAGACCCGAGTTGGGTTCCCAGTACCCACATGGCAACTCACAACCACCTATCACTGCAGTTCCAGGGGATTCAAATGCCTTCTTCTGACCTCCACAGGCACCAGGCACACATGTAGTGTACATACGTACATGCAAACAAAACACTCATACATATGAATAAATCTAAAAAAAAAAAAAAGAGTGGAAGGAAGGAAAGGTAGAAGGTGAGCTCCGGGAGGTGATGGAAGGATTAATATGGACACCCTTATGTCTTCTAGTCGAAGTGAAACAGGGAATGGTGGAATGCCTCGTGCAGAAGCCAGGATTCGGCTTTCTCTTTTCTGTTTTCCACGGTTCTGTGAAAATCTTTAAACAAATAGAAAACTAAAAGGATGGATGCTGGTATCCTAGAGCCCAAAATCAGTATTTTTTCCATGATTTCATCTGTCCATCATTATCTATCCATAACCTATCCATCTACCATCATCCAGTTATTCTTCTACCCAATGTTCATTATCCATCTATCACCATCTATCATTCACATATCTCTTTGTCACCCACTGACACCTATACATCACCCATCCATCAATCCATCCATCATGTGTTATCCATTCATCCATCTGTCTGTCATCTATCTGTTACCTATCCATTTGTGATGGCTATTCTTGCATTCACCATCCATCCGTCCATCCTTCTTCATTCATCCCTCTGTCAACTACTGACATCATCCATTCATCATTCATTTACCCATTCACCCATCCCTCTTATCATCTATTGACATCCATCCATTATCCATTCATTCATTATCCACCCATCCATCTGTTATCCATCGATCCATCATTCACATGTCCATTTGTGATGGCTATTCTTGCATTCATCATCCATCCGTCCATCCTTCTTCATTCATCCCTCTGTCATCTATTGACATCCATCTATTATCCATCCGTCTACCCTAAACCCATCATCTAGTCATTATTTACCCATCTGTTATCCATTTATTCATCCATCCCATTATCATCCATTTATATGTATCCATCCATCATCCATTCATCTATTTACCATCCACCATATTTTTTTTTTACCTTAAAACCTTATTTTAGACCAATTTGAAATTGTGGTGGTCTGAATCAGAATGGACTCCATACTCTTATATATTTGAATATTTGGTCCTCAGTTGGTGGGACTGTTTGGGAAGGATCAGGAGATGTGACCTTGTTGAAGGAGGTATGTCACTGGGAGTGGGCTTCAAAGTCTCAAAAGCCTGCACCATTCCCAGTATGAATCAGGATGTAATCTCTCAGCTAGTGCTCCAGCACCATGCCTGCCTGCTGCCATGCTCCCCTCTGTGATGGCCATGGACTCCAACTCTCTGAAACCGTAAGCCCCAAGTAAATGCTTTCTTCCATAAGTTGCTTTGATTACGGTGTCTTATTAGAGCAATAGAAAAGTGACTAAGTCAGCAATTCACAGAGAAATTAGGTTAAAAGTATAGCTTTCTCGTGCATCTTTTTAAAAAGGCTTCATTTCAAAGCGACTTACAAATATCATTTCACTACAAACACTTAGGCATGTACATCATAGCAAGTGCCTAAGCTTCTTGTCCTCAGCAAAATTTAAGCACATGTTTGACATACATATATGCTTGACAGATTTTGACAAAGACACATAACTAAGCAGAGCAAAGCCCTCTCTGATGTAGAGATTCTCCCTGGCTTTTGTGAGAATACTTGGTGAGGAGTGAAGCAAAAGTGTGTGTAAGTCCAACTGGTGCTCCCCCTCCTAAGTAGCCCAGGCGATATTCCAACCAGTGATCCTCCTGCCTCACTCTCCTCAGTCTCCCAAGCGCTAGGACTACAGGTGTGTACCACTGTTTTCTTTACTTACTTTTCTTTCATTCTTTTTCAATTTTTTTAGATTTATGTATGTATGTATAGTGTGTGTGTGTGTGTGTGTGTGTGTGTGTGTGTGTGTATGCCAGTGTGCTCAACTATATGGGCACGTGTGCCCCAGCATGGTGTGGAGGTAAGAGGACAACTTACACTAGTCATTTTCTCTTTCATCAGTGGGAGTCTCTGAGGTTGACCTCCGATCATCAGGCTTGGCTGCAAGTGCCTATCCATTGAGCCATCTCATTGCCCCAAACTCCTCTCTTTTAAACCTCGAGCCCAGACCAGAACCCCGCTGCTGGGGCACATCTCCAGTCCTTTGCTGGTGGATTTTGAGCTAAAACTCCACCATTGAGCTGTATCTCTCACTTTAAAACAGTATTTACTTTTTTTTTGTGTATACGTGGCTCTCTGTGTATGAGCATGTGGGTGTGGTTGCCCAAGGGGGCCAGGAGAGGGCGCCGGATCCCCTGAGATTGGAGTGACAGGTGATTGTGCTCTATTCTTTCTCTGTCTCTTTGTCTCTGCTTCCAGTTTGTCTATCTGTGTTTCTCTCCTTACCACCCAATTTTTTTGTGTCTCTGTTTCCCCTTCCCTTCCTCTTCTCTGTCTCTCTCTTTCCTGTCTTTTTATCTCTATTTAACTCCCATCTTCTGCAGGAGCAGCAAGGGTTCTTAACCACTAAGCCATCTCTGCAGACTCTTTTCATTTTGAGACAGAATCTCTAATTTGCCCAGACTGGCCTTGAATTTTGAACCACGTCTTCCCCACGAGGCCCAGCCCGTACTCTTTGTTTGGTTTTGTTTGATGGCAAAGTGTCATGAAATCGAGGCTCTCCTTGAATTCCTCATCCTCAGCATCTACCTCCCGAACTGAGATTACAGGCACATGCCATCTCGCCTGAATTTTGTTTTGGTTTTGTTCTGTTTTGCATTTCAGACAAGGTTTTCCCAGGTAGCCCAGGTTGGTCTCCAATTCCATCCTCCTACTTCAACCACCTGAACACTGGGTTCGTACACAGCCCCAACCATGGCGGCCTAGCTTCTATTCTTCTTAAACAAGTCACTAAATAAGTACTCGGGGAGGAAAGGAGTGGATCAAGCTCCTTGCAGAGATGGAAGTTTCTAGAGCAATCCTTGGTCCCTTAGTAGAAGGAAGTGTTGTCCCTCCTTCCCATGTCCTGGTTTAGTTACTCATTAGATCGTTTCTATGCATCAAGTTGCCTTGAGGGCATTGTTGTATAGGTTGGGTGATGTGTGTTATAGGTAGGGTGATGTGTTATAGGTTGAGTGACGTGGGTCTGGCTCCATGTTATTTATTTCGTTGGAGCTTACCTGTTGTGATGTGGGTGCAAACAGGAAAACAGAGACCATGATGATCCAGACCTGGGCACACTCTGGGCACACTCCTACTCCTCTCTGGTGAAGCAAAGGCTGCAAGAAGAGTAACTTGCCAAGCCCCCAATGAGAGAGCTGTGCCTCTTCCCGGCTGGCTCTGGAATGCGACTGGGCAGCGCCCCCAGCCTCCCCGAGCCTTATCTGCTACCGCCCACACGGTGCCAGGCAGGGAACCGGCTGGGCAAATACTCAGCAGCCACCCTGGGCTCCCACCCCTCACTGTGTGGAAGAGAAGTGAAATCAGGGAGAAAAGAGGAGGAGACGTGGGGAGGAGAAGCGGGCAGAGATGGGGAGAGAGAGGGGAGAGGTGAGGGGATGCAGAGACACAAAGATTCGGAGACAAGGAGAGGGACAGATATGGAAAGAGAGAGAGGCAGACAGAGACACAGAGAGATGGAGAGATAAAGAGAAAGCTGGGAAGAAACAGAGGTGGAGAGAGGGAGGGAGGGAGGGAGGGAGGGAGGGAGAGAGAGAGAGAGAGAGAG